GAAAAAAATAAGTTTTTGAAATAGAGAGAAGTTTTGAAAATTTAAGAAGTAGGAAGGAGATGAAGAGACTATCCTAAAGCACAAAGTAAATGGTCTCATTGTCAGGTAGGCCAAGAGAAAGCCTCTGTGTGTGCAAGTGAACTAACTACAAGAAGAGGCATGCATTTGACATAGGTCAAAACCACTATTATTTTCCTTTTGGATTAAACCTCAAGATGAACAAGCACATAAGCAGATGAATACCACAAGGTCCAGACAAATGTCACAAAGTCTCAGATGAACCAAAGGTCTAGATGAATCTTAAGTCTCAGGTATCATAAAGCATTAGATGAATCCTAAAGTAACAAATTAACCAAAGTCTCAGATGAATCTCTCTAAGCAAAGTAAAAGAAATCCTAGATCTAAGTCCAATATTCCAGAGTCTCCAAGCATATGATAATAACAAAGTCCAAAAGAGAACCACATAAGATTTTTCAGGGTTTTGATTATTTATTAATGTTTTTGGTCTTTTGAAGCAACAAAAGGCACAAGATAACAAAAAAATAAAAGCAAAAATGAAAATGACATGAGTGACTTGAAATTAAATGGCATGAAATAAATGGCATTAATATAAAGTGCTTAAAATTAAATATTAGGAGTTAACACAATTACTAATGTTAATGTTAGTGTTAATGAGAATTAAACCGATTCAGGATAAATTTAGCGTTATGTTGAGCAATCTTAATTGGATTTATGTAGAAGTCACAACTATCTGAGGTCAATCAATAACAGTTTATGTTTCAAGCATGTTAGTGAAATGACACAAAGTCATTATCCTAAAACATGTAACACAAGTCAAAACCAAAACAAAAAGAAAGAGATGGAGAAGAAGAGATGATTAAGCACCAAGGCAAGGGATTATCTATCATCAACTTCAATCATTCTTTTTTGGGATACTTTGAACTTATCATCAATCCAAAGTATCAAAAATTATCAAATGATCATTTAATGATATGTTTGAAATGATGAAAGTTTAATCAATCAAAATACCGTTCCAAAGTCCAATTGAACAAGATCAAACATCAATCAATCACAAAGATCAAGGTCAACAAAAGTCAATGCATAAAATGTTCTCGGAAAAATAAACCATCAGATCTTCTTCGTTATTTTCTTCCCTTTCCGCATCTATTGCAACTTGGATTTCCTTCGAGTCCCTCTCGTCGTAGGCTTCCATTTCCTCACCATAAAAATAAGGGAGCACTGCTCTGCCTGAATAGTGCGCAAAAATTGCAAAGGCGACTCATTGGTAAGGCGAGAGCTTCAAGCCCGATTTCAGGTTCAGGTGGCACACCCCCCACACAAGCACCACCCGACGAAGGGGGGACGAGGAAAGCTACAGGCCCAAAACCTTCGACCCTTCTTTCTAAATGGGGGTGCCCGGAGCACCCCATCTTGTCATTTCGTTGTTGCTCATTCCCCCAAAATATAATAAAAAGAAATTAAAATCAATTTTAAAAGGTTTTAAAATAGAAATAAAAGAAAAAAATACCAAAGAGGTATCAACACAACAAATAAATGTCGCAAAAAATTTGAGAAAATCACAAATACTATAAGTATTGAGATCTCAAAAGTTGGGATAAAAAATGTTTTAAAATGATCAAAAATAAAATTAAATGAAAATAGAAGAAAACATGAATTAAATGCAAAATGATTTTAAAAAATTATGCAAAAAATACACGTGGTAGAAAGTGTTTTTATGAAATTATGAAAAAAATAATTGGAGTAAAAAATAGTAAATGAGCTATTTAAAATAAATCAGAAAAAGAAAAAGATAATAAAATAGAATTTAAAATGAAATGTCCAACGGCTAGGATGTGTGTCACATGATCATTGGTCAAAATTTGAATTTTCCCACCAACGTCGTAAACACATTCATCTTCAACCTTCAACTTGATTTTTCCAACTCAAGAACTAGGTGTTTTTAGCATGAATCAAGTAAGGATTCCACATCAACATCCACCATCGTCCAAGTCTCTCTGTATCAAAGCAATTGGTTTACTGTGAGCAGAGAGAATTTGCTTAAGAACATGAAGAACCCTAGTTCTTCAAAGTAAAATTAAATGACTAAAACAAAAGATAGATTCCAAGTAAGTGAGGGCTTTTCAGTTGAAGCTCGAAGGTCCAACAATGGTGAAATTGAGTTTCAGGTTTCAAAGAGCTTCAGAGCAATGAAATGGTCCAGTTAGCTTCAGAAGCTGCCGATGAAGGATTCTAGGTAGAGAGACAAAACTAAAAGAGCTTGAATCAAATAAATGATGAACTAGTTTTTTGAGATATTGGGTTTAAATTGTTTCAGAGCTTCTTTGGCTGTTCAAGCTTGGAAATGAAGGAAAAAAACCCTTTATTTATAGGAAAGGGAGTAAGGTCATAATACGTGTGAAATTAGATCTCAAACGTGTGAACCAAATTGAGAAAATTCTAGATCCAAACCGTGTAAAATGAAGCACCAAATGCGGGAGTTTTTTTTATCAATTCAGGTCGTTTTGCATTGTGTGAGATGCGTTTCATCATGACAAAGAAGTTTCCACATGCTCTTAGTGGTCCCAAGTAACTTTTAGGTCATTTATAATTATGGGTCATGCATCAAAAATGTAGAGTCATACCACCATGTTCATGCTTAGGCCAAATGAAATCCACTTATGCGTTTTGTGATTTCTTCAGGTCAAATGACCCTTTCATGGAATAGAAGACAATGCAAAAAAAAAACCAATTCAAAAGGATGCCTGATCTAAAAATGGCATGCTTGGAAAGTTGAAGTCATGACACTAAAAAGTAGGTTTGACATTAGGTCAAACATGTCATGAACCTAGTTTTGTGCATATGTGACATTTGAGCAACTTCAAAAATTAAGGGACTTAGGGGCTGAATTGAGTCTTGACCCTTGAAGAAAAGTTGTAAAGGACATCAAATGTGACCTTTGGCTTAAAGAATATCCCAAAAAGGTTGAGAAATGAGGGAATTATGATATTTAGAGCAAAAGGCATGCCATACTTGATTTTAGGTCAACCAACTATATACCAGCTTGAATTTTCTTGAGTTTCCTTGCATTCAAAGGCTCAATAATGATCACTTGAACACCAAATGAAGGAAGCTTGATTGTTCTTTGAATATCCTTGATGATTGCTTGAGAGTTGAATGAAAATTGCATGGAAATAAACACATGAACCATACTTGAATTGTCTTTGAATTTATGCATCAAACTTGAATTTCTTTTGGTCAAATGATGTTGAATGAAACTTGACATGAAGATGTCCTAAGATTATAGGTCATGATTTTAAGATAAAAACTTTGTGGACCACTTGTTGACAAAAAATTTGACTTAGGGAACCAAAACCCTAATTTAACAACCAAATTTGATTCTTTTGATGGCAAATCCCTACCTTGTACAATAAGAAAAGGAAATGACACAAATTTTTGTATTTTGAATAAGGTTAGTGATTTTATAATATAAACAAACAAGCAAGGAAAACACAAAGGTGCCTGGTGATCTCTCCCAAATGCAGACTTAAAGACAGAGGGTTAGGAGGGCACCATGCTTGTGATTTGATGAGATGCAAATGACATGATAGGTGGAATCTTAGGGGTAAAAATTAGGGTATGACACCAGGATATTAGGTTTTCACCTATGAATTTACAGTTTCCACCAGTGGACTTCTCTTAGTTATATCCCCATCATAGTCAGCATCACATATTCCAACCAACTTATAATCTTTTTTTTAAGCCCATATTAATTTTAAGCCCATATTAATTTTAAGCCCATATTTTATATTGGTCCAACATTTCTCCATCTTTTTTTACATTTTCTTTCTTTGAACAAAATATGCAATCAAAACCAAACTCCAAACATAAAAAATAGAAGTCATAAGCCATAAAAACTTGCTCTTACCAAACCGCTACAATGGCTGGCCGACACCACTATTTCTCTCGCCACCGTCATTCTCATAGGTTATAGTTGTCTTATTTGTATTCAAGTTCTCTTAGTTAATTTTCATTTTTTTTATACCTTTTATGTATATTCTTTAACAAATTTCCTTATAATCTTGTAACAAAATAGTTTTGACGCGTGTTTGACGTGTGAAACATGTTAATTTATGTTTGCTAAAACCTTTTATTTTTATTGTTGTGTTTTATTTGTTAAACTTTCAAATTCCTTCCCAACCTTCTCATGGCAAGTACCGAATTTTATATTCTATAACGTACTTATTTTATGATGTATGAAAATCATGTCAATACTTCGTATGGATTAAAAACAACTTGTAAGTTGTTTAAAAAGTAGAGCATGAAATAGTAGAGCATAAAATATATTAGATGAAATGTATTATTTAAAAAAATAATAGCATAAAATACACTGGAAAAATATGATAACAAATAATACACAGATGAATATAATGCTTAGAAAAAAATATTGTAAAATAATCAACAAAATCAAACAAAACCGGACTAAATCAAATAGTTTGGGTTGATTCCATTTAAAAAAAACACTTAAAACTAAGTCAAATCAAACTGATAGAGATATTATTGATGCCGACAATTTTTCTTGTTAAACCAATATAGATCGAACGGTTACACCCTAATTATAATATTTGATTTAATCAATATTTTAAACTATATTTTATTTATTCAATTGAGCATAAAATTATATTAAATTAAAGAGGAGGCAAAATTATGAGGCACACCTAAAAATTGAATTCATTCATAGTTCTGGCTGATGTTCTAAAGGGGAAATACACAACAAAGAACCTTTTTATTTCTTTAGAAGCTCTATCAACACACTTACATCCTATCACATTTTTTTTATTAATTAAAACTCACATAAGTCATATCTAATTTATATGAGATTATTATTAACTTATGAAAATTAACCTTGTTATATTTAATTTAATTTTATAAAAATTAACCTTATTTATTAATTTTTTATTTGAACCAACCTTGTTGAATCTAAGGCGAAAATACAAAACAAAATGGCTACTACATTGGTATCGTTGAACCCTTGGAAAAGGGCCTTTTTTCTATTCCCGATAAACAAAACCCAAATCCTCACGATCACAACACACCGTCACTGCAATTCACCACTCTCAACGACGAACATGAACGACCCTGTTGTTGTCTCCTTACAAGAATGGCAGGGCTGGGGCACCACGTCGCCAGTCCCTGCTATGGTTACCCAAATCGCCGAGGATTTGAAGCTTCTAGAGAAAGATTTCGATTCTCAGATGAAGTTTGGCCGCTCCGGTGGAAAGTTGCAGGTGAGTTATTTGTTTATGTTTCAGCAATGTTGATGTGGATGCTTTTGTTTTTGTGTAATGGGAGTGATTTTGTTGATTTTCAGGGGAGTTTTGGACAGCAAGAAGATAAGAAACACCGTGCAACTTATAAGGCTTTGCCTGATTCTGAAGCAAAGCTCAAATTTTATTCTGCTAGACAAATAGCTTGTCGTGTAATTGGTAGCAAGGGTTACCTTTGTCAAAAGGTTCAATTTAAATTGATTATGAAATGATTGATATTGTTATGTTGTTGTCTTTAGAGCACAAACAGACACGACATGACAATGACACATTGATGCCGAGAAACTTGTAATAATAATTTAAGAAAATGAAAATGGTATCTGAATATGTATGTGTTAGTGTCGTATAGATGTCTGATACGTTTTCGATGTGAAGTAGTGCTACATAGGTTGTTGTTGTTATTATTGCAGGTTGATGATGGTGGTTATGATGCCTATGCCATTTTGCTTTTTGATCTTGGTTTCAATTTTTTTTGTAGTGCTGGCTTGCTATGGAAGATTGTATGTGTTCACAAATTACATCCTGCCCGCTCTTTCCTGGAATAAAGTTTTGGTTGTATATGCATCCCAAGGTATATATGTAGTAATATATATGACAACAAAACTTGTGATTTGGTTATGGTTTTGGTTAATGTTTTGTTCTATAAGAGAAGTTATTGAGAAAGACCTCGAGATTAACAATTTGGATAGAATCATGGTCTTGAATATAATATTATGGCAAAAGTTGATCCATGTAGCCGACCTCATTTAATGAGATAAGACTTGGCTGTTGTTGTTGTAGTTTTGTTTATTACTCATAAAACATTTACCTTTTAGTGTTCTTCACTTGTAGGATTTTTTACGACAGAACAACACTGGAAAGCTTTTGTGGCAAGTTTTTGGTGTTGATGCTGCAACTTTGTGCCTTTTTGGCATTCCTGAACATGAACAAATCATGTGGGATTCCTTTAAACTGGCAGGTCTTTCAATTTATAACAATTGCCAGTTAATTGTGTACTATGTTTTCTGTTTACTGAAGTAATCATATTTCAATCTTCGAATTCATAACATAGCTTACTTTCTTCTGTTTTTATAATTTCTACTGTCTTTGTTTCTTAAAGAGTTTATAATCGCACACTCTTACTACTTATAATTAATAATCTAAAAAATGTAAAATATAATTTCTACATATGGATGAGAGTAAATGTTCATATTCCTTCATTTCAATTAGCTTCTTGTCATCATAGTATGATCAAATTGGATTCCTTCTATCAATTTTGATGTTAGTGTATACTTTAATTTCGTTTATTACATCATACTTGCCATGTTGTATTGTATCCACGTGCTCTGAACGACTGTATCTTTTTATATTTTAACTGGTGATGATTTCAAATTCCATTGCTTATGCATTGGATTTTTAACTTAAATTCAGGAAGATGTAATGTGTGGTGCCTTTATCCTAACAAGAATGCTATCTTGGAATCAGTTGAAAATGCATTTAGTCAGGAATCAGTTTCAAATAATGAAGTAACATCAAAAAAGGTATATTTTATCATTATATTGATTATTGTATTTCTAATTGTTGGTTTACAAATAAATAATAGTAATTGTGTCTGTAGTGGAGAACTGGATGTGCGAAGCTCTCCCTTGTAGCCACCTACATTATTTGAGCCTTGTCAATTACTTTCCATTTCATGGATAAGTTGATAGCTGATGTTTGACCTGTATAGTAAAATATTAAGGCTATGCAAATGAGAAGAAATGAAATAGCACTACATATATCTTTCTATTTAGCTTTTCTGAAGTCGGTTCTACTTGTAAACCAAAATTCATTTATTATTGCTTTACATTTTGATATAAATTTCACTATCTTTCATTTGGTGCTATCAAGTTATGATTTTCTCTTAATTATATAGCAGGTAAAAGTAGATGCAACTCAACATTTTATTTTGATTGATGGGACATGGAGCAATTCAGCAGCAATGTTTAGGCGCCTACAGGTAACTTCTGGGTTCTGGGTGGATTTCTTCTGCATTTTCTTCAGTTTAAAGTTGAGAACTTTCATATATGACTGTAATTGAGCATCATAAAATTAACTTACTCCATGAATGGTAATTAGGTGCCAAGGTAGAATAGAATCTTATTCAACTGCATATATTTATGCATAGGTTCTAGTTTCCAATTCCTCTTACAAATGTAAGTTACTGTTGATATTTGTAAATATATATAGTGTTAAGAATATTTATATATAGAATAGTCCTACGTCGAACATATCATGTAATTAGTTGTAATCTATTTATATATAATAATGTCTCTGTAGTGCTTTTCAAAAGACACGGTTTATTCATACGTCTCTTAGTCTCTTGTATTTTAACATGGTATCTAGAGCCTACTAAGAGACAATTCTTTCTTCGTTGTACTTTACCCGGTTGACCTACTATCTTCCAGTGAGAAACTTTTTTTTTTGGCAAACCGTGTTGTCACTCCGGTTTATCTCTCACTTTTCAAAATTCTCCGGTAACCGCCTTGCCGCCACAGCCGCCGTTACTGTTTCGGCACGATGTTTCGAAAAACCGACCCCACCATCCAACTCGCCGTCCTCCGATCCAATCGTCGCCCTTTTTCTCGCCGTTGCCCCAGCACGTCCGGCGGCTGATTCCGACCGTTTTTCCGCCGATCTACTTGCTTCTCCTCACGCATTCCAGATACGGCCTCTGATTTAATTTCCGAGTCACGGAAAATGGTGCTCCAGTGCAAACAACTTCGATTTCACTCCGTTTTTTGTGTCATTAAGCCATGGGAGATGCTGATTCTGTCTTGTTTACTAAAGTTCCGCTTATCCCATGTGAAAAACTAACCGGATAAGCAAACTATAACATTTGGGCTCGTGCTGTCGATATGTGGTTTCATGGTCAGGGATATAAAGATCACCTAACCACACAATTGACTAATGTTGCCGCCACCAAACTAGCTAAATGGAAGAAAACTGATGCCTCTCTACTTACCGTGTTATGGTTCTCCATAGCACCTAACCTCCAAGCGCAGTATCAAGCCTTCTCCACTTGCTATGAGGTTTGGAAAAAGGCCAAGAAAGTCTTCTCCAACGACGTTCATTGTCTATGTAGTGTCATCCTTAAACTCAACACACTGAAGATGAAAAATATGGATATGCAAATCTATTTGAGTAAGCTTGATGCCTTGAAAGCAAGTTACACAACTCTCATGCCGTACGGAAAAGATGCAACAGCTCATGCCAAACAACAAAGTAAATTTTTCATGGTCATGACACTTAAAGGACTACCATCCGAACTCGACTCCGTTCGTAACCAGATTTTATCAGGTACTACTGTTCCTGACTATGATGCAGTTAGTGAGCAACTGTTGCGCTTGGCTACTCGTCATGCGTTTGGTCCGGTTTCTCCTTCATCTACTGTTGCTCCAACACCAGGTGACACTGCTGCCGTCGCATCTCTTGGCAACAATCATAATAGCATCTCGAGGAGGGTCATCCAACTCCAAACCTCGTCCCAAGTGTGACCATGTAACCGGCTTGGACATACTATCAATCGTTGTTGGAAGCTACATGGCAAACCCTCACGCCACGTAAATGCAACTCAAAGTGATAACCCAGACACTATGCAAACTTCACCTTCTATTCAGAATCCTACGCCAAGCTACGAGGATTTTCTCAGGTGGTGTCAGACTAATCAGATCTTTGGTTCCACTGCTTCGGTTGCACACACTGGTAATTCATTTGTTTGGTTTCTCAATCATCTCCTCTTGGTCCTTGTGTCCTTGATTCTGGTGCGTCTGATCATGTTACTGGTAATAAAGGTCTTTTTTCTTCCCTCTCTACCTCTGGTTTCTTACCCATTATAACTGCAGCAAATGGTTCTCAAATCCGATCCCAAGGGATTGGTACTGTTCAAATTTTACCATCTCTCTGTTACTTTTGTTCTTTATGTACCTTATTGCCCATTTAACTTATTGTCAGTTAGTCATTTAACTCGCTCCCTTAATTGTTCTATCACCTTTACTAATAGTAATGTTACTGTTAGTTCCATGATTCTATGATGGTCCATGGTTCTATGATTGACTAAATTTTGGTAAAACATGATTCTGCACTGATATTAAGCAATATGTTATAACATCTTCATCTACTGTCAAGACAGAACTGCTGTCATGTGTTTTAATCAAGATGTCAAGATAGATGTCATGACATCTTTGTCTGGTACAACAGGAGCTGCTATTTTATATCTCTTGACAGAAGTGTTTTGGTTTGATGAGATCCTGTTGGATATACCTCATCAGTGTGTGCAGGTCAAAGAGATTTATTTGGAACAAAGTGCAGATTTAATTGGTGTTCATAAAAAGGATCTTTGAGACTTTTTAAGAAACTATAATATATTTGTTTCTACTGTTATGAAGAAGATTCTGCAGAAGAATGAGAGTTTGTAGATGTTCTTGATTGACTGCATTTTATTGTAAAACATTGCTGTGTGTAGATGTCTTGACTGATGTCATGACATACTTGTGTAGTGTACTGCTGGGTAAGTTTGGTTAGCTAGAACAGAGTGTATTGGATGTCATGCTGAATGTTATGACATCAGGTAGCTGCCAGCAAGGGCGCGTGTGCGTTTTTCTGTTATGGTTCCTGAGTCATCTCAGGCTATAGATTTCAGGAAATCTGCTAGGGTTCCTTAGTTATCTCAGGCGAGACTCTAGGCAGTGCTGAGCATAACATGAAACGCCTATGACCTATTTGATAGCACCATGAATTGTGGAGATTGGATTAACTTGGTTAAACCTAATTTTTGTTGCAGTTTATGAACATTGAAATCTTCTCTCCCTGCTGTTACTTTTGATCAGCCTAAACCCAGACTGCATTACTATTTAAGGAGGCGTAGAAGCAAGGAAAATTAAGCATTCACAACAAGAAAAACTTGAGTGTAAAATAAGGGTTTAGGGTTTTGAGAGTCTTGTGTGTGTGACTTTGTAAGTCACCCTTTGTATCTTTGGATGCATCGTGGTAGACATGTTTTATTTGTTAATTGTTAATTGTTCACTCAAGCTTTTAAGCAAGAGTGTATTGTTCTTGATTGAAGTTGTTAAGCAAAATCAAGTATTGTGACTTTGAAGAGTGTCTTCTAGAGTCTTCCTTTTGTATTGAATTGTTTATCACTGCTGTGATTGAGGGGAGTGAGAGGTGTCTCTTGTCTAGTGGGTTCTAGGCAGAAATTGCATTGGGTAGGGATTAAGTGAGGGGTTGTAAACTGGGAGTTTAGCTCTGAATTAATACTACTGATAGTGGATTTCCTTCCTGACTTGGTAGCCCCCAGATGTATGTGATGGTGCACCGAACTGGGTTAACAATTCCCTGTGTTCTTTACTGCTTTCGTTACCTGTTTACTGCTAAGTTTAATAATCTGTTCAGAAGCGGATGTCATAACATCAGATATAACATCGAATGTCAGTTACTTATCTTTCTGCATTTAACTTTCTGCTCAATTTAAATGGTTAGATAAATAGCTCTGTCAGTCTGCAGATGTTACAACAGATGTCACGACACTGTTAATTTTTAAAGGAATTTAAAATGGTCATGTTCTGTCCTTGTTCTGTTTTAGCAGAGATCAATGTTCTTAGCATCTCTTAGGACATCTGAGATCTGCATACCAGAATTTCAGTTACTCTGCAGGATCGGAGTTCGGGACAAACGATTGGCGTCGGATGTGAGTCTCAAGGCCTCTACTACTTCTCTACGTCATCTACCAGATGCTCCACCACAAATTCTCCATTCATTATACATGCGTAGTTAGGTCATCCAGGTCTTCCCAAGCTACAAAAGTTGGTGTCCAGTTTATCTAAATTATCCACTTTACATTGTGAGTCTTGTCAGTTAGGGAAACATACTCGTAGTCATTTTTCCGATCGAGTCAATAAACGAGCTGCGCCCCCTTTTGCTTTAGTTCACTCCGATGTTTGGGGTCCTTCGCGTACTGTGTCTACTTTTGAGTCTAGGTATTTTGTAACTTTTATTGATGATTTTTTACGTTGCACATGATTATTTTTAATGAAGAACAAGTCTGAATTGTTTTTCTCGAACAATTTTATCGAGAAATAAGAACCCAATTTGGTTTGTCTATTCGTACCTTAAGAAGTGATAATGTACGTGAATATTTATCCCCACAATTTCAAACATTTATGTCATCCAATGGTATTTTGCACCAAACATCTTGCCCTCATACACCCAACAAAACGGGGTAGCCGAACGCAAAAATCGGCACCTCGTAGAAACTACTCGGACCCTACTTCTCCATGGTAATGTTTCTCTCCGGTTTTGGGGAGATGCGGTGCTCACGGCATATTACCTCATAAATTGCATACCCTCATCTGTCCTTAATAATAAAATCCCTCATTCAATCCCTGTTTCCAAACTCTCCACTCCACCCAATTCCTCCTCGAGTCTTCGGGTCTACGTGTTTTGTACACAATATCTCCCCTGTTTTTGATAAACTATCAGCTTGATCACTGAAGTGTGTCTTTCTTGGCTATCATCGATCCCAAAAGGGTTATCGTTGTTACTCACATACTCTACAACGATACCTCGTATCCGCCGATGTTACCTTCTTCGAGTCGGTTCCATATTTCAAATTCAGCCAAGTAACTACGGAACCTATACAGGAAAGTATTCCCACACCTCTTTCGAAAGTCTCATCTGTCATTATCCCCATCATTCTAGGGAACCTGACCCACTAGGTACCCCTACGGTTGACCCCCCCACTCCTCGCCCACTTCAAACATATCAGCGTCGTCACCCAACGTCTGTCATACCTGTACTTGAAGTTGTATCTGTCCCTGAAGTCGTACCTGTACCCGAAGTCGTACTTGTCCCTGAGGTCACTACGGACTCTCCTCCGACGCTATCGCCATCACCGGATCCGACCCTGCAACCTGAGTCTGATCTTCCGATTGCCCTTCGAAAAGGTATACTTTACAGACT